ACATTTGCAAAGGAACTAAGCAGTCATAGACAGGGAAGTCCTGCATCAAGTTTTAGGGCAGATTCAAAACAAATAGGGGAAGGTGGTTTTCGAAAGAAAAGGTAGCTGAACTGAGGGACTTCTTGCCACAGGATATTGTGGAGCCTAAAAGATTTTGTGGATTATAAGACTGATTAGATGACCTTACAGAAGTACAGAGGCATCAGCCCTGGTTCAGAAAGTCCCTGCTTTCATGTGAGGAAAGTTTTCTGGGAAAGTGTTATTACATTTTCACCTGTTCTTATGGCCTTCCCTTGTCTCACACTGTTTGGTACAGGTAGAGACTGAATAGTGTACCTTTTCTCTGATGAAGAGTGTTCTTGTGAGGGTGCAGACACAGATGCACACATTGAAATTTTCTGAAAATATGGCAGTTGGTGTTTTACGATGGCATGCCCTCTATGTCTGTCATAGATTAACTATTGCAATATATGCATGCAGTGTAACGCTGTACGCTCTTGTCAGAGCATTTGGTTTTCCAGAAAGAATTCTGCTAACCTGGGGACAAAGAGTTGCAAAGTATGAAATAAATATGTTATTTTCTACTAGCATATGACAGAATATTGTAAGTCTTCAGCCACCTGTAATGCAGTAAATGATTTCTAGTGTAATTTGTAACTAAATTGGAAAAAAGTTGTCAATTGTTCTCATGCGTTAAAGAATACCAAGCTATTTAATACTGCTGAACAGAAAATCAAATATGTGCATATGACGTTTGGGTGCCCTGTAGGAACAGTTACAGTTGACACAGTGGTGAGGAATGCTGCAAGGGAACAGCTAGCCAGGCAAAAATACTGTCCATGGTGAGCCTAAGACATACCTGATGCACGGATTAAACACACAGATTAATTAAAGCATGAAATTTCATTCAATTATTTGCATATACATGAATGTGGAACACAGGTGAAGACAACAGATCAACAGTTGTCTGAAAATCGGTCTGGAATTTCTGAACTGCAAAATGTGTTCACTTAGAAAGCCCTGTTCCCCAAACGTGACAGGTGGATTTTTTTGTTTCCATTCAATTTTTATAAATATCATATTGATACGTAACATTCTGAGGTTTTTTATTCCATTTTCTGTATTTTTGTAAGTATTGTTACTTGTACCAAAAAATGTGATGTCTCATAGTGCTGTTAAAGTTGTGTTCTGGCTTTCCTTATAATTGACAGAATATAGTAATGACAATGTAGTCCAAGAATCATGCGTATGCACTTTGATTTATGGAAACTTACGTATGCTTTCCAAATCCCATGGATGATCTTTATCATTCTTTTAATACTTCAGTAAAGTAACACTAATAACAATTGGCTGGTTAAAGTATAGATGTTCAGAAGACAAGAAGTAAAGGCCAATCTTGCAAAGAGGTTTAATGATCTGTTGTTTGACAATTATTTGTAATTATTTCAATAATTCTTAAGTCCTTTTCTCATTGTGTAAAATGTAAAATTATTTTTATCTTTATGTAAAAAAGCCATAAAAATTAACTGAGATTTAATTAAGGTCCTACTCTAGAAATTAAATGCTTTACCCCTCAAAATGCCAAAGTACAAAGAGTAACGTATCAAACGATAAATTAACATGTTTTAAATTATGTTTTTTTATAAAATGCTTTTCTGTGAATATTCTGCTATAAGAGTGTATGTGAATAAGACAGAGAATCTTTTGTTTTTCCAATTTGTTTAATACGTGGACATGAAGATACCTGCATGAAATTCCATGCTTCAAGCCATTTTTTTTGAGGGCAACTTCTTGGACTAATGACACTCAACTTATATTTTAGTCTTGGGCATTCTGCACACAGTGTAACACCATTTTCGGTCCTTCAAGGGCATCATCCCCTACTTTCTCTCTAATGTAAGTCCTGTGAGGGAACTTCAAGAAAAAATCTCTAATTTTCTTTAATGCCTTAACTAGGAGAATTCTTCACCAGTGTGACCTGATGATCTTTTATGTCACTCCCAGAAAAGTATTCTCTGTTGATTTTCTTAGCTTGAAAATGACAGAATATGACTGTAACTTTACAAAAACTAGCAAAAATATTCAAATACAAACAGTATTTGAAATTTTATTTAACTGACAATATTCTAATCTAATGGCAGGCTTTCAGTATTCTGGCACTACATTTTCTGGTGTTATTACAATAATCTGTAATCGGTATAGTGTTTTGTTTCAGCCTGAATAAATGCCAGGTGCCCACCAAAACCGCTCTATCACTCCCCTCCTCAGCTGGACAGAGGAGAGGAATATGATGAAAGGCTCGAGGGTCGAGATAAGGACAAGGAGAGATCACTCACCAATTACTGTCATGGACAAAACAGATTGAACTTGGGGAGAAAAAAATTTGAATTTATCACCAATCAAATCAGAGTAGGATAACGAGAATTAAAACTAAGTCTTAAAATACCTTCCCCCCACCCCTCCCTTCTTCTCGGGCTCAGCTTCACTCCCATTTCTCTCCCTCCTCCGTCCGAGCGGCACAGGGCAATGGGGAATGGGGGTTACAGTCAGTTCATCACACATTGTCTCTGCCGCTCCTTTCCTCCTCCTCCTCGGACTCCTCAAACTCTGCCCCTGCTCCAGCCTGAGGTTCCTCTCATGGGAGACAGTTCTCCATAAGCTTCTCCAACGTGAGTCCTTCCCACGGGCTGCAGCTCTTCACAAACTGCCCCAGCATGGGTCCTTCCCACAGGGTGCAATCCTTCAGGAACAGGCTCCTCCAGCGTGGGTCCTCACTGGGTCACAAGCCCTGCCAGCAAACCTGCTCCGGCATGGGCTCCACTCTGCACGTGTCCGCAAGTCCTGGCAAGAGCCTGCTCCAGTGTGGGCTCCCCACGGGGTCACAGGTTCCTTCAGGCATCCACCTGCTTCCACAGGCTGCAGGTGGATATCTTCTCCACCGTGGACCTCCATGGACTGCAGGGGAAAAGCCTGCGTCACCATGGTCTTCATCACAAGCTGCAAGGGAAGAATCTCTGCTCCGGCATCTCAAGCACCTCCTCCCCCTCCTCCTTTACTGACCTTGGTGTCTGCAGAGTTCTTTCTCTCACATCGTCTCACTCCTCTCTCTAACTACTGTCTCACCCCCAGAGGTTTATTTTCTTCCCTTTCTTAACTATGTTATCCCAGAGGCTCTACCACCAGAAGCCACCCCTACAGCCCCCCCGCTACCAAAACCCTGCCAGACAATCCCACAACGTGCAGCTTTTGTTACTGCAAAACATATGCAGAAAGTTTCTGACTCTTTTTCTGTAATTTTTATTAAAGTGATACTTCAAAAGGGCTCTGTAAAAAATGTACAAAGTGTATGTTCTGCTATACATACATTTATGTATTCACAAAAATAGGACTTATTTTCTAGGGATATACTAGGAAAAGAACAGGAAGTTGGTACTGTCCTACAAAAATCAATGAAACCATAATGAAACTACATAGGTGATTGTATCATAAGTTCATTATGTCAGTTACAAAATTCAATTATTGTTGCCCTTTTTGGTGAACTACTGCAAGAAAAAATTATGTACTACTGCACCTTCCACAGCTTCTGGGAATGTATTTGGCCTCTTTTGGCCAATTTTGTTTGCAGATCGAGTCCACCTAAATATTTATAAATTATCAAATTATCCTCACTGGTGTCTGCCATCAGTACAGTTGTTTGCACAACCACTGCAAGGTCAGATGGGTTCTTTCTCTCTGCTTCTAGATCTCAGTTACACCCTGATTAGCTAAGGCTGACATCTGGCATATCAAGAGCTACCAGCTCTTCATCTCTTCATAACTACCTTTTTTTTTTTTTCTCCCCTGACAGTAGGTTGTGTAGCATGAACAGAACTGACCCACAGCTGCTAAAAATCATCCCTTTAAAGATATTTGCATTATTTGGACTAAGTTATTCATTCATCTTCCTTTTCAGCAACTGCATTATAACTAGAGTTAAAAACTGTAAACATCCCACCCCTTGGCTATATGCAGATGTCTGACTTCTACACCAGAAGCCTCAGACTTTTCTCTTGAGCTGAGATTTTGGCTGCTGAAGACTGTTGCTCATTTCTGTTAACAAATCACAACTTGACTTAACACTTCCGAGCCTGTATTTCTTGAAAAGTGTTCTAGTCCATGGTGACCAGGGTGCTAGTGATTTGTTTCCTTCTTGTCATTCCAGACTAGCCATGTCACGAAACAGCCTTCCCAACCTGTTCAGATGCCTCATGGTTTCTCCTACTTACCATTTTTCAGTCCTTTCATAACTTCCAGATCCTCTTTCCTTTTCTTTTATAAAGGTTCAGATTTTTGAGTTAGTTCATCCTGGCTTTGTAATTTATTTTTTTTTCATTGGAAAAGTGTTCATGAAGAAAACATGAAAGCGAGACGTGTCATTGTTATTACATCATCAATATGATCAGTGGGAAACAAATGCAATTTTAGAACGTAGTTATAAAATGTATGATGTAAGATACCTGCAGGGCTTTCTAAAAACATTTGTTTTATTGGCACAGAAAATGTCTTGTTATTCTCTGTGCTATCTTTGCAATATTGTTTTGCTGAAAAGAAATGTTGATAGTGTAAAATCAGTTGTTTTCCATGAAGAGTGGGAAAGAATTGTTTTTATTCTATGGTTATTTCAATTTCAATTAATTGATCCTTGATCCTTCTGAAAAAAAGTAATTAAAAGAATTCCTATAGAATAACTTTGCTAACTAGTCTATTTGTCTTGATTGATAGATAGAAAAATATATGGGAAGATCTATTTATCTTTGTGTTTGTATGTGTTTGCACATGTGTGTATTCCTAATTTGAAGAGATAGCTACTTCATAGTTAAAAAGGCTGAAATACAAGATCTTCTACAAGTTATATGACAACTGCTTCTCAAAATTTAATTTCAACATCATTTAGTGTATACATAGAACTAGGCTTACCATCTCCATGAGCTATATAGTTCTTATGTTTAATATCTTTACAGCTCTTATAGCCATTGGACGATACAGCATGACAATAGAGACAGTGGATGTTGGATGGTGCAAAGAAATCACAGACCATGGAGCCACCCAAATTGCACAAAGCAGCAAGTCTCTCAGATACTTAGGGCTGATGAGATGCGATCAGGTAAGGAGCATTTGTGTGAACTGCTGCCTGCTTCTGAGCATGTGTGAATGTGAGTGTTCATGTGTGTATCTGTCAGTGAGGGACACAGGAGGATTTATGTTTTTCTGTAGAAACAGGTTTGGTATTCAATACTGTGGTAACTCTTTTAGTGTGCTATGTTCACATATTTAGCTAAAAAAGTATCTAGAGAACTAAAAAAAGCATTATCAATTTTTGCTGACATGGATGTTCAAAATACACCCACAGGCTACACCCACAGCCTGAGGTGCGCACAGAAGTTTTATGTAAGATCTGCCCTCTGAGGGTTTTGAATATTTTTGGCTAAAAGTGATTGGTATGTCATGTCATTACTATGACAGACTGATGTCGTTTTAAAAAGAAAGGAAAAATGAAACAGTAGAATAATGAAAATACTTCAGTGTTACTTCCAGAGTGATTTTCTAGATATCTGTGTTCCTCCTCATACATAATGGTTTTGAAAACACAAGGGCAAGGATTTGGGTAAAACCATAATGCTTAAAAAGAAAAAAAATATGGATTTTCTTATTATACAGCTTTTCTACTTGGAATATATTAATAATGCCTATAAGTTTTAGCACTTTATTATTAGAACAAGAGAGGACAAAGTAGTCCTGCTCCACCTCACCCTGTATATAGGCTTTGGGAATCATGTCTCTGTTGAGAGAAGAGAGATCAAGAGGCCTGAGAACACAGCAGAAATAGCTAAAAGTCGTTGGAGGTTCACAGTCTCTGATCTCAAATCTTCAAATATACCTGCAGTGATTGTTTCTTTTCCAGCCATCATGAACAAAAAGTCCAGCTTGTGATGCCCATCATAAGCACATCTCTCAGGCTTGCGAATTTCTGGTTGGATACTGCCTGTGGAAACACAGGTTTTTACTCTAAGAAACTACATACTCAAAAATAATACAGGGTCCTGCACCTGGGGAGGAACAACCCCATGCATCAGCACAGGCTTGGGGTGGCCCTGCTGGAGAGCAGCTCTGTGGAGAGGGACCTGGGAGTGCTGGTGGATGACAGGTTAGCCATGAGCCAGCAGTGTGCCCTGGCTGCCAAGAAGGCCAATGGGATCCTGGGGTGCATCACGAGGAGTGTGGCCAGCAGGTCGTGAGATGTTCTCCTTCCCCTCTACACTGCCCTAGTGAGGCCTCATCTGGCGTACTGTGTCCAGTTCTGGGCTCCCCAGCTCAAGAAAGATGAGGAGCTACTGGAGAGAGTCCAGCGGAGGGCTACGAGGATGGTGAGGGGACTGGAGCATCTCTCCTACGAGGAAAGGCTGAGGGAGCTGGGCTTGTTCAGCCTGAAGAAGAGAAGGCTGAGAGGGGACCTTATAAATGCTTATAAATATCTGAAGGGTGGGTGTCAGGAGGATGGGGAGATATTCAAGACCCGCCTGGACGGGGTCCTGTGCGGCCTGCTGTAGGTGACCCTGCTTTGGCAGGGGGGTTGGACTAGATGACCCACAGAGGTCCCTTCCAACCCCTACCATTCTGTGATTCTGTGATTCTGTGAAAACCATTACCTTACATCCGCTGCAGTGCTTTATAGGAGACAGTTACAAAATCTAGTATTTCAGCTGGTAAAGAATAATAATTTGCAGGTCAGTTGTAAATTTAGAAATAGCATTTTGTAAAACCCAACCTTAGACAGTTTCCAGTTTGAGGGCAGGTTGAGAACTTTGGAAGACTTGCTCTGTCTTTTAAAGCTGACTCCACTTAATCTCCTAAACATTAGTGTTTTATAGGAGCCAATAGACGAAAAGAGCACATGAGTCCCTTTGACGGATTGTGCTAAGATTACGTACTTAGAGAATGTTGAAAGGGTTATTTGACCTTGGGAATTAGATCTGACCCTGAATCACCTGATCAATTTTACGCAGATCTTTATTTTGTGGATTTAACTAATGTTGAACAATCAACAAGGATCTATTAAGTGCAATAATTTTATCCTTTCTTTAGCTGCTATAGAAAATCAATCATCTTGGTTCTGAAAACAAGTTTTACTGCCTCGTCAGTTGAACTGTATGTACTACAGTCTGTACTCCTAATTGCTGCTTAATACTTTCCTAGTTCTTTACAAAGGATTATATGCTGTCTTTTGTGTTATTAAAGTCAAATGTTAAAAGGAAAAAAGAAAAGCTTCAAGGAAGGTAGAAAAGCAATGATGACTGCATGCCTGCGAGTACGTGTGTGTGTTTGTGTGCATGCATGTATGCGAGTATTCAAAGTGTGGTAGCTAAAACTTGCTAAGAAAGAAGTAAATGCTGTTACAGCAAACACTGTAATAGTAGGACTACCACTGGGAATTATTCTCTTGCTTGCAAAGCCTTGATGGGAAAAATAGCTCCACAGACAGAATGAAGTAAGTATCCTTGACTTAAGAGTTCTTGGCAGCTGGAAGATGCCAGCTCCCTTTTTCCACTGCGAATGAACAGAGAAATTACTGAACAAAATCATGTCTTCAACTGTCTCTCACCAATATCATGCAGAACTAATTTTTTCCAGTGGCTGCTCTGTTAAATTAAAAATGTCAGTGTCCGGCACAACATTAAAGAGAATTGTTGGGTGGTGCAGAAGGGTTTATTTACATCCCCTATTGACTGAAATTCTTGTCTTTGGACTATTGTCAGCTTGCAGTGAAGACAGGGTTAGAAGATTTGCCCCTTCTAACCGGCCTTCCTTTTCTAAGGTACTGACTGTTATCCTAATACCAGGTAGCATTTATGTCTTTCTAGGAATTCCTAGGCATTAGAGGGGAAGTACTTAAATGCAGTTACATAAGGAACATATGTAAGTAGACTTCAAATAGTTACCACGAAAATACTCTTTATGACCCAGGCTCTTTGGAATTTCTTTGATATGCAGTTGACATAAATTAGAGGCGTCAAGGGTCCTCCCAAGAAAGATCAGAGAGGCTGCAAGCCTGGGTAAAGGCAGGCTCTGTTTAATGCCATTGATTATCTGAGTGCCTCCAGGCAATGAGTTTCAGTAGATGCAGAGCATTATTGATCCACACCATGAAAATAATCAAATTATTCATTTCTCATCAAACGGCTGTTGCCATGACCTTTCTTTTTATCATGTTTCCTGCCATCTAACATGCACACCACAGGAGCAATGTGGTCTTTGCCTTAAAAGAAATGTCATTGTGTTGAGAAGTCTCATAAAAAATGCTGACTTTACCATGAGACCATCATAGTGAGGGCATATATTTTCTAACAAGCATTTTACAACTATGTTTTCAACATTTAACTGTTGCTAAATAGCAACATAGTCACTATTTACAAATCACATACAGAAAAAAGTGAAAGATTATGAAATGCTGGAAGTCTTTCAGAATTCTCCGTAGTAGAATTTTGGCTTAGAAAACGTGTTTATGCTTAGATACACAAAACCTAAATATTCTTTTGAATGTTAAAATATTAGTGGCAAGGTTACTGGGCAAATATCTCTTTGTTTTTTTCTGATTTTCCCTGGCACCTCTATGACTTAGGCAAATTTGGCTTTCTCTGCACTACACAGCAGTGGTGTCTGAGGCCTGGAGAGAGCTCTGACCAAACTGGTACTACTGGAAAGGTGCAGGGCAGTGTGGACACATGGGCATAAGTCCTGTTGGTAGCTGAACTGCCAAAGACCAGCACCTTGTCCAGGAAAATCAGCACTCAGCCAGGCTCATGAGATACAGTCATACAGGTGTTACAGTAGTACAACTTCCTGCTTCCATTTCTATGAGTAGCTCAGGAGACACTAGCTTGATCTCTGCAGGGTCCAGCATTGTCCAACGTAGGTACAGTGAGACACATACCATTAGTTTTCTGCATCGGATGGGTTTCTGAGAGACTATGATCCAGACCTCCAAAAGTATGCAGGCATTCAGAAAGTAGACCCTAAATATTTTTAAGCACCTGTGTTTTGGACAGTGAAATTCGCCAGTTGCCTTCATACAAACATCAACATGTACTTGGAAGCAGATAGGACACTTCTCCCTTCCAGTCTCTTTCACAGTACAGGATATCAACTGTGTGTAAATATGTATCTGTGTGCATATATATAAGTGGGTCTGTACAGGCACTTGACAGCACTTGGGACTGCACAAGTCATGTGTTTCATAAAAAGGGAATACTGCCATTCTGAGTCTCCATTTCTTTTGAAAGCAGTAAGAGATAAAATCAGTAGTTATTTAAGGCCTAAGCAGAGTGTTTTAGTGTTTTGTAATTGGAAAAGACATAAAAGACGTAGTACCTCTGTTCTGCGTTCTGGTGTGACCGCCTACGTTCACGCTGGGCCTCACTCCCAGGGGCGGTGAGCCAGGCTTTCTTCCCTCATGCCACCTCTTCCCGATGCTCTGGCAGCACAGCGAAACCACAAACTCCCAGTTTCTCTGCACAGAGAGTGCTGCGCTGTTACGGGCTGCAGCCCAAGGTTGTGTTTTGGAGCTTGACTTGGGTGTGTGGGAACACGTAGCCGGTTTGTGTGCTGCCAGGGTACATTGTAGCTGTGATTTGTCCCCTCATTAAATACCAAGAAAGGCACAGAGCTGTCTCTAGAACCAGGGGTTATAGTCAATTCACCTCAGTTCAGTCCCCCCACAGCAGAAAAAGAACGTGACTATCCGTTCTTCAAACCAAATTTTAATTGTAGCTCTGTATTTTTTTAATCACAGTTTAGGAAAGTGTGTATTTTAAAGCACAATTTGTCCTTTCCTTTAAACACTTTGAGAGAGGTGTTGGCAGTTATGGGGTACTTTCTTTTCTCCCCCAAACACTGACATTGGGATTCCTAAGTGCTGTACTTGCATCCTAAGGGCATAAAATGATGCCTACATCAGATTCACAGGTTCAAACCCACATTTCAAGCTTCTTTTTCTGGACACAAACCTGTGCATTCCTACCCCTAAACTGATCTAGATCATATATGCTTATTATAGTTACTTAATGAATTATTTCTAAATATTTGTATTTCCAAAATAAATCAGAGAAA